CAGTATGAAATAAGAAGATTAATCATATATAATAAGAAGAATGTGCGTGTTTTGCAAAACGAACTCAGTAAACTCATTAACAATAGCAAATGGTCCAATGCCGGCAGAAAAAAACCTAATATATATATATATATATATATATATATACAGGGTGTCCATAAAGTTCGGGTGGACTTTAAAAATTTATAACTTTATTCGTATTTGCGATAGAAATAATTTGTAAAGAGGATTAAAAAGAAGTAAATGTATATTTTTTAAGGTTTTATTGAAATTTTATTTAAGTTTCCACATGTCCTCCATCATTAGCAATTCAAAGGTTAATACGATTTTGCAGTTCACGGAAAACATTTGCCAACTGATTTACAGTAATGCCTGAAATCACATTAGTTATTTTAGCTTTACTTAAAACTAGGTACATTAAACTTTATAACATTTTTTACAGATTATTTCTATCGCAAATACAAATAGAATTTTTTAAAGTACACACGAACTTTATGGACACCCTGTACACACACACACACACACACACACACACACACACACACACACATATATATATATATATATATATATATATATATTCAAACAGGTTTGGTTAAATCATTTCAGATGAGATTGAAAGTACATGAGAAAATGAAAACTATTTGAAAGAAAATTTTGTTATTTTCTTGATTAATTTTCTAAGGAAATTAATCCGTCAACATGAAATGATCACAACGAAAAGCAATCTACATGATATATCTAAATTATTCAACCAGACATGTTCGAATGAAGATATACTACCTCAATATACACTATCTATCTATCTATCTATCTATCTATATATATATATATATATATATGCATGTATATATATATATATATATATATATATATATATATATATATATATATGAAATTTACTGTTGTCCGTGGTAATCCTAGGCTAAACACGGAAATATAATTAAAGTACTCGAAAGTCTATTCTGAAAGTAGAATATGTGGCGCAGCTTAAAATTATAAAATGTCAAAATTTGTACCCTTAATCACGACCTGGGTTACAACTGCAATGTGTCATCAGAGGGAAGAGTAAATTTAGTTTTCTAGCGCCACGTAATTCTTTTTGAACCGGAAGATTTTTTGAAAGGGATTCGGTGTGGGAAAATTATCTCCATCCTGCTTCGTAAATGCCAAGGATGTAATTATTTATATGTCTACACTTTGACATTATTTCTGATCGTTCGTTTCGTAGTAATTTTTGTCTGGATGTGTTACAATAGTCAACTTTTCCTCTTGACACAATCTACAACTGTTGCCTCTAGTTCTCTCTGGTTTCACTTTTTTTCAGTATACACCACATTACGTCTTTCGTTCTTTCAATTTCCCGACGAATTCAACAAGTTTCATGTCATACTTATGGTTCTGTAGTTAGAATGAAGAAACAGGACTGGACCATTTTTTTTCAATGGCCATTCGGTGCATCCCACGTAAATCCTTTTTTCCCATCCACATATTCAACTTCAGCCTGATAAATCACGTTTTCAGTATAGCAGTCTCCGTTCAATGGACGTTTGCTTTTGTCTGTGCAATTACAATTCTTTGTTGATATACCCATCTACCCTTAGATTCTTCATATTTTGTCCCTTGATAATGTTAAACAAATTTCCAGTACAGCTTTAATTCATTTTTATTGTTGCTGTTGAAAATCTTTGAAAATTATGAACATTTCGGGAAATGTTTCTTGATTAAATTATTGAAAAATTTTCCTGTTTGTTTTCACTTGCAAATTGAATGGGGGAAGTGAACCATATTATATTAATTTGTCTTGTTATTATTTTTTGTTATCTTTTGTATTTGTTTGGTTAACTTGGGGATTAAATTTTAGGTCAGTTTTATGTCGCTCTCCCTTCAATGCAATTACATATTCTTTTCATTAAATATTTCCCTTGACGAAGAATTCCTTGACAACCTTCATTCTGTTTATTTTAGAATTTGTTTGATCACACTATTCTTGTGGTTGAACTTATTGTTTACGTATTTCAGCACCGAATTTGGTTTCATGTGCGGTGAGACTGTACCTTCCAATAAACAGAATTCACTGTCTTAAAACTGAAGAATTTTCATGTTCACTTCAACGTTAATTTCTAAGTTCAGGCTTTAAAAAAGAGCGTAAACGGTTTTTTCCTAATTTCAGCGTTAGCGCTTTTATTTACAGGCACTATAATCGGTCTATCGTCTCTTTATATTGTATGGTTATCTACGTGAGCACTCGAGTTGATATTAATTTATATGTAGATATCCATTAATCCGGAAATCTAAGCCCCATCATAACCTCCTTGGGTGACATCAAAGGTAACATCGTTTGATTTCTTTTATCCATACTTCTCCGTTATTCATTAAAACAGTCTTATAGTAATGATATGTTACCTCCATCTACTCTGATAAAATATCTAAAAAACCTTTAGCATAATGTAATGCTTCCAACAACCCTTGCTTTGAAATAGATGGATAGAATTTTTAAATATCGTAGTTTATAAATATTTGTTTTTCTTTGTTTTCAGTAATATGAACAGGGAGATATACTTATGCGTTCCCCGCCATTGGTTTACCTGCATAGCAACTCTCAGCAGGTCGCATATGTGTTGTATTATTTCTGGGTTTATTCTACCTAATTCCGTTTTTGTTTGGTATGTAAGGCGGAATGATGGATAACTGCGGAAATCATGTTTGTGGTCTTTGACAGTCAGAAAAGCCTGGATTTTTTTTCATATATAGTTTGGTCTCTATCACTGATGACTATTTCGTCTGTAATATATTTGATTTCTTTGTTAATTTGTCCAATATAAGAAGCTGGAGCTTTTCAACAGGTTGGTCCGAAAGTCTTGTCATGCATACAAAATACAGTGGAACCTTGTTTCACGAATTTAATTCGTTCTTGAAGACCGATCGTGACCCAAAATGTTCATAAACCGGAACTATTTTTTCAATAGGTTTGTTTTGGTTTGTTTTGTTTCACGGTATATCAACCTCAATGGGTCATTTAATGCCGACAACATTTCTTTTCTTTTTTTCTGGTAATCTTTCTGTTTTGTCAAAAATCTATTTCTGTTAATATTTTTTATTCCTCAAAAATGTATAGCTGGCAATATTATTTTACCAAAAACGGAGAGCTGGTAATATTATTTTTCCAGAAACGTAAAGCTGGTAATATTATCTTTTCAAAAATGTATAGCTAGTAATATTATTTTTTCAAAACGTACAGCTGGCAACATTATTTTTTCAAAACCTCCTGATCAGAGGCCTTGCTGTTGGACGTAGTTCATCGTCATACCCAGGACACGAATATAGTTTATCGTCATACCCAGTATACGGATGTAGTTTATCGTCTTACCCAGGACGCGGGTGTAGTTTATCGTCATACCCAGGACGCGGATTTTGTTTATCGTCTTACCCAGGACGCGGATGTAGTTTATCGTCATACACAGGAGGCGGATGTAGCTAATTGTCATACCCAGAACGCTTTTCACTAGGAAACATTGTAGAGAAAAAATCACAGTGCAGTAACATTTGAAAAGAAAATCACGACACAACACACGAATGTATACAACATGGCGGTCGACTCAGAAATTATTCCGTTCGGGTGAACTCGGTTCGGCAATGTTGTTCGAGAACCGGATTTTTTTTCGCTAACCGAGGCATTTTCATCTCGAAATTTCTGTTCGAAAACCGATTTGTTCAACATATGAGACGTTCAAGAACCAAGGTTGCTCTGTATACAATTTTCTATTTCAGGTGGCCGACAGGAGCTCTTACAGTTTGGACGAGAGATAAAACTTTCGGGCCACCCTGCATAGAGTTCAGTTACTTCGTCAGACATTTTCTTTTTGTAAGTTCCATTTTTGTTTCCATTTTCTCTAAATCTTCGTCGTTGCTCACATACTCGGTCTATGCAATTCTCATCATTCTTCTGCTGAACTACATGTAGGTTGATTCAAGTCTCTTCTTCATCTGTGAGATTGTTCAGCATTCACCGCCTTATAGGAGGAACGATATTACTCTTTTCTTTGTTTCTAATTTCCCTGTTTCTTAATACTTTGCTTAGCTTATGAAAAGCATTTTTCGCTATCCCTAATGCACCTTCGGATTTGCGTGTTGCACTTTCCATTTTACAGATATTTAATTCTTATACTTGTTTTATTTTGGTATCAACAATTTGAAATTTGCATGTTGCTAACACCCATGCATACAGTTTAATTTCAATCAATTTAAAAGTATTTCTTGGAATAGTTTTATTTTAATAAAATATTTTTATTGTACGTGTTTGATTTCGTTGTCTCCAGTTTTCAGTTTGAAATTTGGACTGTTCCTTTTACTAACAACAAAGCATTCTCTCTTCTTGTAATTGATGTTTAGTTCTTTCTTCACGCTTTCCTTCACTAACTTCTGTAGGAAGGCATGTAGTTAACTCTCTGTTCCTGCTATCAACACTGTGCCATGTGCATATCTTATGGCGTTAAGATTGTGACCACCATTAATGAATCCTGGTAGGACTTCTAATCTTCTCAGAGTCGTATCACTGTAAAGGTTGAATGAGAAAAGTGAAAAGACAATCCTTGCCTTACCTCTCGTTATATTTTTGCATATTTACTGAATCCATCGTTTCAAAAATTCCTTCGTTATCTACGTGTACAATCTTGTTGATATTAATATGAAGATATCCATTCACTCGGAAATATAAGACCATCATAACATCCTTTGGTGACATCAAAGGCAACTTCGTTTGTGTTTTTCACTTAATAATATCAACTATGAACATGGACACAATATCTTGACCATATTTTGAAAAATGGAACCATTATATAAATACATATATGCATCAAACTATTTCTTATTTAACAGTTAAAATATGTAATCTTTGAAAATGGCTAAATCTATAGCCGAAAGCGCCCGGAAAAAAAAGAACATTCGGACAGTTTTTATATAATTTATCATCTGAAAAGAAAAAAAAATAGATCACATGAGAAATTTTACAGAAACTTAAATAAATTCACCTTGTCTGCTGTATTCAATGAAATGTGCACACACACACACACACACACACACACACACATACATTTATGCAGTCACTGTTGACTTTATGACTAGACGCTGTTGCACACCGTTACCCAGTACTCCATATTCATTCTAAGTCTGTAGACACCGTTCCTAACAACGACAGTTTTTCTCCGTTAAAAAACTCTTTTTTCTCCCTCAAGTGCATAAATGTTTTGTTAAGTAATCATAACAGACGACTGTTTCTTTCTCCTTCCATTTTCTTATTTTGCTCAGAAGATATTTCTTCGTGTAAACCAAATACGATGAAAATAAATGCAAATAAAAAAATCAGTGAGAATGTGGTAAAATAAAATAACAATTCGCTTCTTCTACGTTTTGTTTTGTGGCTAGAATTCCTTACATCATAATATTGTTTTTGTTTTTTTTAGTATCGCAAATTTTGAATTCCATGTAGTATGTATTGTGTATTCCTCCGTGTTTATCCTGCTTTTTATTGCTTTTTGTAAATTCTAAGTTTCTAGAAATCGTTTTTGTTCTTCTGCCTCTAAACCACAAATTAACCAAAGACTATTTCCAAAGAACAATCCTCCCTATCGGCAGAACCTTCCCCATTGCACTTAAAACTGTGGGGTCAGGTTCGATATTCGTACCCGAGGTTTTTCAAACTAAGGTGTGCCAAGGGTACTGAATAATTTTTTGCAAACGCGCCTGGCCGCATTGTTAATAGTGACTCCATGGCGAACTTAACATCGGGAATGTGTGGTTAAATAACTTATTGACATAGAAGAAGTACTGAACTTGACAGTTACAATTCTGCCTGGGTAGAGATATGGGGGCCATAAGTGTTTAGATATTAAAGCCAAGAGAATCTTGCCTAAGATGCGAGCTGCGAATTAGATATTTTAAAATCAATAATCTTCTTCTATGTGCCGTGTCAATTCAGAACGTTGGCGATCATGACTCTCCACAATTTCCTGTTCTTTGTAGTTTTTAATAAATTTTGCCTTTATGTCGTTTCTCCTAAAACTTGTTCCGCCAACCATTTACTCAACACATTCTCTTCTTCTTCTTCTTCTTCTTCTTCTTCTTCTTCTTCTTCTTCTTCTCATTCCACTTCTTCTTCTTCTTCTTCCTCTCCTCGTCCTTCGTCCTCTTCCTCTCCTCCTCCTTTTACTTCTGCATTTTCTTCTTCTTTTCCATCTCCTCCTCACTCTTTTTCTTCTTCTTTTTCCTCTTCTTCTCTTCCACCTCCTTCTCCTCATTCCCCTTCTTCTTCTTTTTCTTCTTTCTCTTCTCGTCCTTCGTCCTGTTCCTCTCCTCCTCCTTCTACTTCTGCATTTTCTTCTTCTTTTCCATCTCCTCCTCACTCTTCTTCTTCTTCTTCTTCTTCTTCTTCTTCTTCCTTTTCCTCCTCCTCCTCCATTTTCTTGTTCTTTTCCACATTCTCCTAATCCCCCTCCTTCTTTTTCTTCTCATTCTCCTTCGTCCTTTTCCTCTCCTCCTCCTTATTCTTCTTCATTTCTGCCTCCTCCTTCCTTATTCTTCTGCATTTTCTTCTTCTTTTCCATCTCCTCCTCACTCTTCTTCTTCTTCTTCTTCTTCTTCTTCTTCTCAACCACCTTCTTCTCATTCTTCTTCTTCAATGTGCCGTATCCCTTCAGAACGTTGGCGATAATGACTCTCTATAATTTCCTGTTCTTTGTAGTTTTTAATAAATTTTGCCTTTTTGTCGTTTCTCCTAAATCTTGTTCTGCCAACGATTTACTTAAGCTCATTCTCTTCTTCTTCTTCTTCTTCTTCTTCTTTTTCTTCTTCCTCCTTCTCCATTTTCTTGTTCTTTTCCACCTTCTCCTCATTCCCCTTCTTCTTCTTCTCCTCCTTTTTCGTCCTCTTCCTTTCCTCCTCCTTATTCTTCTTCATTTCCACCTCCTCCTCACTCTTCTTTTTCTTCGCCATTTTCTTCTTTTCAACCACCTTCTTCTTCTTCTTCTTCTTCTTCTTCTTCTTCTTCTTCTATGTACCGTGTTCCTTCAAAGCGTTAGCGATCATGACTCTCCACAATTTCCTGTTCTTTGTAGTTCTTAATAAATTTTGCCTTTTTGTTATTTCTCATAAACTTTGATTAAACCATCCATTTTCTTAAGCTCACCAAGTTACAGATTGTTTTCCTCCATCTTTCTTGCCTTCAATCTGTCCTGCGGCCATCAAAATTTCTCATTATGTGCCCTAGAAATATTAACCGTTTCTTCCTGATGGTAACTATATGTTTCTTTTCTGTTTCCATTTTCTCTAAAACTTCGTTGTTGTTGCTCACGTGTTTGGTCCATAATATCCTCAGCCTCCTTCTACTTCATTTCTCTGCCTCAGGTCTCCTCTTCATCTGTGACGAGATTGTTTAGTATTCACTGCCATACAGGGGGACTGTTATCACGTAGCAGTTAAGAACTCTTTTCTTTGATTCTAACGAAATTTTTCCCGTTTCTTAATCCTTTGCTTAGCTTTTGAAATGCATCTTTAACTATCCCCATTGAGCATTCGGATTTCACTTCCCACATATATTTATTTCAATTCTTTGACTTTCT